AGAAATGGTAACGGTGGGTCCAGGGTCAAATATAAAATGAACATTCAAGCTGGTTAAATACCCATTGCTAGTAGGATATCTACTATAATTAATGACAAGCCATATGAATTCTTCAGAGCAATCGGGCCAAACCTTGAATGATTGTAGGTTCTTTTGCATAAGCAAAGGAGGAGGACGAGGAGGAGGAGGAATGAAAATACCCGGATCAAATATCAATCCCTTGATAATGCCGTTGAATTGCTCAGCCAATAGTGCTACGCAAATCAAGAATTGGTTGAGTTGAGCTATTGCCACAAGGATAGGGTAGAAAGGATGAAGCCATCGAACTTCAATACACCCATGCCAATCAACTAGCACCAGTCCCACTAGAGAACTAAAGAGGATTGAAACACTAGAAGTATGAAATGTCTTAGGAGTCAGTCCCAAATGGTTTGGCTAGCAATGACAAATATTGAAGGAAATCATTGATCTCCTGGTTGTCGCCTATCAACTGTCCTTGAATGAGGTTGGAGGAGAGGCTAGGGTAGCTGAACGTGAATTGAAGCAACCTAAATTGGGCTCTAATTATCTCAGCCCAAACAAGAAATTGCTCTATTGTTTGAAACAAGTAGACTCTATGCATTAGAGGCCCAATTTCTGACAAACTGACTAGACTCTGTAAATCAACTATCATCGTCATATCAACCACTTCGCATCCTAATTTCTTTGTTGTGTTGCCTTTACAATCGTCCATAACAACCCTTTCGGCAATGAATAACGAGTTAATAATAGATAGAGAGCGTGTGGGTTCCATCTTGGCAACTGTTGGCGATGAAAATGGTGGCAGTGTAGAGTCCACAAGGAAGATGTCAACATTCTTAAGATTTATTTAGATATAGATCCCATCTCAACGCTCGTTTGCAATGGAACCTTAATAGCATCAGAGTGTGGAGCAAAACACTTGGTAGCAGATGTTGGAGAAAGATTATTCAATGGAAGCTTAATACTTGGCTGTGATAAGGATCGGAGCGATGGCAGCATGTGATCATCCATAAAGCTTGACTTGACACCTCCAATGGTCGGTGATGTTAAGCACTCGTCTTCAAACCCTGATCGATGTTTAACCGCATTAATCATAGCCTTAATTCAGTCGAGGCGATGTTCACGTCGCTCCCAGGAAGGCTTCAAGGAATCCATTAAGCTTTTGGTCTCTTTAGCCACTTGTTCAATTGCTTGGTGTAGTTCCTCAAGTTTGGTCTCATCTATGTTGTTAGCCATTGAAGCGAGATAGACTCTCTCAATGAAAGCACCTTTGTCACGTACTCAACCAAATAAGCAGAATAAGAACTCAAGAATTTAACTAATAAGCTCAATGTATTACTAATATTTAAAGATACAGAGAAGTGAAGTAAAGGCTAACTCAGATAAGATACTGAGGGCCTAGCGTGTTGTATTTATAATGAATTATCGATTACATAAATTAGCTACAGGAGGTTATAACTGCATAACAGATTCACATGAGTATAACTGAAGCTATATACAAAACTGAAACGTGTTACCATCTAACACTAATCAAGCATTTATCACAGGAAATTACAGAAGTTGCAAGAAGAAATATCAAAATAAAGAGGGTACAGATCAGAAGGAAGGGAGATACAGGGGAAAGCTAAGAGAATGAAGCAACAGAGAAGAGAAGCACAATCACAATTTCCACACCCTTTCTCAATAGTCTTGTCTCTTCATATAGTGTGAAGACCTCTACTCCACTCACTTTCACGTGCCATATAACATCATAATAATCATGTGCCATTCTACTATCCATTAACCCATAATCAACTTTGCTCATCCATGGTCATCTCTTCATCATACATCATGACATAGTGATACCAACATTTCAACCATTTTGAGTTCTATGATTATTAAAAGACCCAACTCTTACACTCAATAGTTGATTAGTTTTCATCCATTACAGGTTGTAACTTGTAAGTAGTAAGAAATTATGATTGGAAATGATTATCATTGATCAATACCTTCTAAGTGTGTGATTAACATATTGTAATTCATTATGATTATCTTATTAAGCAATTAAGAAATTTATGTGGTAAACATTCCTTAATTACATACCCGCCAACCTCCCCCCTCTCTTGACTTTTTGTTATCACCTATGACTATTATTCCTCTTCGATCCTATAATTTGCTACAAATATATATTATCTTGCATTGTGATACATTATACTCCCTCCGTTTCAAATTATAGGACACTTTGAATTTAAAGAAGCAGTTTTTTACATCTCAAAATATGATGGATATTTTTAAAAATTTATATTTGTTTTGGAAAGAAAAGGTTGTTAAGTTTATTTAATGAGATTTATTAGTATGTGAGATTTTATTTAAAAATGTCTTATAATTTGAGATGAAGTGAGTATTATTGTTCATTTAAAGATAGCTTATATATCATTATAATTAAATATATATATATATATATATATATATGTAGGATAATAGGTAATTATATGTATCTTGCATGGAAGATGGAACAATTCAAATATCTATACAAACTTGTCTTATGACGAACTCGGCCAACTTTGTATGCATGGAAATTGTTTGGGGTAAAATCAAATTTTGACTCCAAGGCCAACTATTGGGGTTGAAAAGAGTTGTTTTGGCCAAAGCCTACCTAAAGCCTCTAGAAAATAGGTGATTGAGGAGAGACTTAGTCAAGTAACACACCATTTCAAAAAAAGCAAGAGTGCAAGAAGTTATGGGAAAAATTGCAACCAGTGGCCCTAAAAGTGAGCATGAAACATGAAAAAAACTATCACTTTGTATTTATAAAAAGAAAGACACCACACACATGCAAAGGTCTCTCTTCAACTCTACACACAACTTTTCAACAATTCAATCCACTTGCCCTTTGCAAAACCCAAACCTTGACCTTGTGTCATCCCTTACTTCACCCAGCACAACTCCTTTTATCTTTCAATAAATTCGACACATTGCCCTTAGCATGCCACTCATCTAACAATGAGCATTGAAGTTTTCTAGCAACTAATAGAGTACCAGCTCCTGTAACAGCATGCCAGCGCCTTTCCTATTTTGTTTTCCATCTTACATTTCTTGTAATTTCTCTTTTACCATTATCAATATCATCTATACTCTCACCACGTAAATCTTATATGTTTTCCCATCTTTATTCCTCAATTTTCTTTACTTTTAAGCATATGTATTTGGGAAATTTGTGGTAAAGGACCCTAGCAACTCACCATTTTATTTTAGAAGTTAAGAACATCGCACCTTTTGAGGATATATGCCTTTGGCATGCCTGCACCAAAAACAACGAGAACACAAGATACACCTTGTCATTAGAAGATTATATGAGATTATAAAATTCAAACAAATTTACTTTATGCCCGGTATCTCCCTTCCTAGTTGATATTATATTAATTATAAATTACTAGGGTTGAGAATTCAAAGTTTGTTGAAAATTTATTTTATTTCATTATAAAATATTGGGATTTGAATTTCAAAGATATAAATTTAATTATTTATTTTATTTAATTATTTTAATCGAAGATAACGACCGAATACATTTCTTATATCAAAATGTATCACAATAAAATTATCAAAATATATCAATTTAAATAGAAATATTCAATTTAATATTCAAATCTAAATATAAAATATAATTAATTAATATTCATTTTGTTTGAGTTTTAATTTAAATTTTATTTAATTGAAAGTTTAAATTCAAAATTCTCTCAAACATTGACTTAGGCAGTGATTATAAATAGAGTTATGAAGGTATATGCAGGTTCATTTGTCAAGTCTGAGTTTCTATCTTGTATTGTATCTTCAAGTCTATTATATATTTAGATTTTTAGATGTCTCATTATTTTTTTTTCCCGCTAATGTATTTGCACAACTATTAAGTGTTTTGCACTTAGTTAGTTTGGGTTTTTTTTGTTCCCTAGATATTATTCATGTTATCAGTTCCGCAAGGCCAGATTTGCAAATTGTGGTTCGCATGCAATTCATGTCTGGTATATACCCCAACCAACCTCGTCAAACAATGAAATTAATACTTAAATTTTCAATATACTAATATTTAAAAAATAATTTATAAATTTTGAATAAATATTTATAAATAATAATATTTAAATTATTAAATATTAAAAATTTTAACAATACTTATTAAATTTTATTTTGAAAAAGCTTCAAAGCGCTTAATTTTTCTTGAAAAAGAGTTCAAGAGGTAAATTAGTATCAAAGGATAGAGCCAGTAATATGAGTTGGGCTTGCAGGCTCAACTTGCCAACCCGCAAAAAATTGTAGGTTGAGTTAAAAAATTGGGTTCAATTATATACGAGAAAGTTTTGGCCCTCCTCGTATAACTTAAACCTACAGCAGGCTAACCTATGGGCTGGCAAGTTAACCCACTTATATTTTTAAAAATAGATAAAAAATAAACAAATGAGATTGAGTTTAAAATAAAGCTTTCAAAACAAGTATGCATGAAATTGCAATTTAAAGTACTTGATACTTTTACATTTATTTAATTAAAGTTTAAATTATGACAGAAAACAATAAAAACACACTGCTCATATAATTAAGTAGTAATATAATATCACTACTATAGAATTATGCATATTTGACAGTTATTTTCCCTTATATTTGACGGTTAAAAACTGTCAAATAAGACACCGTCATTTATGCAACTTCATATACTTGACGGTTATTTTAACTGTCAAATATGTGATATTATACTTGACGGTTCTAAATAACTGTCAAGTATAAGGTAAAAGAACTTGCTTTAACTGAAAAAATAACGTCATATTTGATGGTTAGATGTGAGAACCGTCAAATATTTATGTATATATGAACATATTTGACGGTTATAATGTCATATTTGATGGTTAGATGTGAGAACCGTCAAATATTTATGTATATATGAACATATTTGACGGTTATCAAAATAACCGTCAAATATGTTGTAGAATTTTTTTTTTATATGGCAGCTGCGTTTAAGCAATCCCCCTGTAATAGAATTGACATTATTTCATAATCCAGACAATCCAGCAAATATATATTATCATCAGCAACATTCTTTCAGAATTAAAAGAACATGTACACACACACACACACACACACACACATATATATATATACGCATATATACACAGTCACATTAATTATAAACAAAAAAGTTGTAAATCTTAATCCTAAATCACAATTCTATCCTTAAAAATGAAACAATAATTCTATCCCAAGCCACATTCTTTTTGCCTTTAAGCTAGACTAAATGTGCACTCACTAAATGCGTGAATTTTGCATGATCCAAAGTTGAAATATATGTTGGCACCACTCTTCCACGACTTCATTGATGTGAGCATCCCCAAATTCTTCACAATAAGCATCATCATAATACTGCAATTTAAATTATAACCATATCAAAGTTAATTAGCTAACTAATGAAATTTTGCCATTTATAAAATGTATATTTAAATTAAATATGAACCTTGGTAGGGATTGAAGTCTTGGCGTGAGTGATGATGTCCCTAATGAATCTCATCACGCAATATCCACAGTCCACCGAATCTGGTATTTGACGCGGGCACTTTAAAAACAAAACAAACAAAATATATTAAGTTATTGAATAATCATTAATAAATACTTGAACAATTAATGTTTAAACACACGTACCCTTATTATTGTCCACGTGAACAATTGGTGAAATGGTTTGACCTTAGGAAAGTTAAAGATTCATTCATGCAGTACAAAAACACAGCCCTAAAAACACAGAAGTTGGTAAGTTTGAAATATCAAAAATATAAGTATGAACTTAATTAATGCACTTACTTGTTGATTAATTCCGCCATATCTTTGTGATTACCCGGTTGTCCGCCAGCAGAACACAAGTAATAGATGGCCAATTTCTCATATTTTTCTTCAGCCGGATCAAGGGCAATCAGCATCCAATAATCCCTAAAATAATTAACAATTGTAAAGAATATATAACAAATTGAAATAGTTAATAAAATTGAGAAAACACATTAAATATAATAAATAACTAACCCTTGCACATAAGGTATCAAGAATAACCTCCCCCTTTTTTAATAGTCCTAGCTTTGAATGAATCACACAACCGCTTTGCTTGATCTTCATGATCAGAGTTTCGAATGTCACGGAAAGCAACAATGTCATAAGGACAAATGCAGGCAAATATCATAGTAAGGTTGCGGGGCACGACAAGTGTATGATAAAGAAACCTAAAATTAATAAATCAAACAGATTAGTATATATTTATAAAAATAATAACCACTCTTGTGAAAAAGAAGTACCTCAAATAAAAATCCATGACGGTCGTGCTAATCATGCCACGGTGGATTACTTCATCTACGACTTCGAGTGTTATGTGATTGGTATGATCTCTGTCATACATGCCATGCTCGAATGGGACATCTACAGCAATAAAATCATGAATACTCCTTTGCATGTCAGTATATGCCCTTAGTGAAGTCAGGAATTTATGTGACAATTGAGGCTCCATCTTTTGAAGCAGGGGAGGTGCGATAATCTTTGACTCATGGCCAGTTAATTGTTTGCTAGGGAAGTATTTTTCCTTGGACTATATACTAGAGATAGTTAGAGATCAAAAGTTATTATATAGATACCTTATTTTTGTTTGAGATTAGCTTTATAATTTTATATATATATATATATATATGTACCTTATCTTTGTTAAATATTGGCCTTGTAAGGGCTGTGGGCCATGCAACAAAGGTGCCCAATGCATCTCCTACAATCATCACATCCTCCGTGGGAATGGGCAGCTGATAGTTGTCATCCAAAGAAACTTTTAGACAAACTCGTACGTGGCCTAAAGGAATTGGCACATTATGTATAGTGCCCCCAGGGAGATTATACATTATACCAATTGCAAACACACGGCGATCTGGACTATTTGCCAAAAACTAACATTCGGCTTCACCCTAAAGCAATGGAAACATTTATAAGTTATTAATACAAAAATGAATATAACTAAAAAAAATAGTAATATTACCTCAGGAAGGTTCAGATGAGAAGGCTGAGCTATGGTGCAACTGTCTCTCTTACTATTGGAACTAATGTCTACAGGAGTGGATGTCTTTCCCTGGGACGTGAGCAATACACCAACCAACTGATGTAGTATATCAACCTCATCTTTTAGTGCGTTAAATTCAGCTAAAGAAGGCATTGCACCTTTTAATGGCTTTGTAGTCCTAAATACTTACTTCTTAGTGACGCCAAAACCAACACCCCTAACGCGTCCGCAGTGGTCAGGATTACCCAATGCCTGACCCAAGATATCTTCATCCTCTGGACGCTCACCCTTTGAGACTTCATATGAGATAGCAGCCTATGTGACACAAATTGAAAAACTTAAATTATTTGTTTGAATGAAAAAATTAAATTTACTATGTCAAATTAATAATATTGACACTTACACATTTATTGGCTATCTCCTGAACATGCTCATCTGTAATGTTACCCTCTTTATTTATTCAGCCTTCTAAAAAAAGAACATGGTGGGATATGCTACTAACTCCTGTGCCTTCTCGCTCAATCTATGCATGCCAATAGCAAAAGAATTAGCAATTAGCAAATATAATGAATAAATATGGAGTAATTTTAAAATTAATAAATTAGTAATTAATAAATACCATCTTTTCCTCTATGCCTGAATACCCCACACGCCCTTTCTTAAAAGGATAAGGATTTTTCTTAACCAACTCCTGATTTTGTTAGCTCAATTGCTGTAAAAAAAAATTAAAATCAATTAAACTTATAATATAGCATAATATTATTAGAAAATTAAAATCAATTGGTAAAGTAAAATCACCTGAAATTCCATTTGAAAATGAGATACAACAAATTCATCCCATTGTTGTTGGGTTACCAAAGGTCTAATTAAAGTGGGGACCTCGGAACTAATGTTTCCACCAGCTCTTTTAATATATTGTGATTCCACAAAATATCGAAAAGAACACATTGCTCGCCCAGCTATTTGGAACACGTACTTCCTTCAACTAGCATCAATTATAAATGCTGACTGCAAAATATTAGCATGTTATTAGTAAATTGATAAACTATTATAGACACAATAGTCACATAATGGTAAGTTAACAAATATACCTCTACTTGTTCCCAAATATATTGCCTTGTAGATTGATCTGCCTTCTTCCAATTTCTAAGTGTGATAGGCATATTTGCTCTTGCGACAGCTCTAATGTAGCTGATGAATTTATCTTTATTGTCCTTAATCGGTTGCCCTTTAGCATGCAATTGGAGGGAATATTTTTGTCCAGCTATCCTCCATCTCTTCACTTTTATCATCAATACTAAGCCGTTTATAATCTTAGTTGCTTCCTCTTGAAGCTGATCATCATTCATTGTCAGACTAGGAGCAGCACTGGGATCATCACCACTAGCTACAACATCAGGGCCACTGCTGGGGTCAACATTGGGGCCACCACTGGGGTTGACGCTGGGACCACTACTAGGGTCAATGCTGGGGCCACCCCTGAAAACATCAAGGTCATTACGACCTTTGCATTTACCTTTCTTGGGAGCCATTTACCTATAAGATGCAAGAACACATATAATTAGAAAATCAATGGACACATGAAATAATTATTTACAAAATTAACCAAACATACATGTAACAGTTATTTAGAAAATAGAAAACCATATGCGATAATTAAATAAACACAAGTAATAATTATTTACAAAATAAAAACACACATGTTTAAGTTGGTCTTTTCCTTTTTCTTGTCTTCTTTTGATCTTTTCCTTGCTTACTCTGGTCTTGAATTTTTTTTCCTCTCTTTGATATCCAAATACCTTTAGTATGATCATTTCTCATATAGAACGCATCACCTTTAGTAAAATTACTTTCAAGCAATGTTCCTAAAAATGGATCATCCTCAACAATAGTATCATCCATGTCTTCAATGAATAAAACAATGGACCAATTAGTTTTAGCAGGATCAGGAACATAGAACACTTGTCGAGCCTGCGAAGCAAGGATAAAAGACTCATCTTTATACCCTTCTTTGTTCAGATTTACCTGTATTAACCCTCAGTTATCATCAATTAAAAAGCCATTTTTATGGTCAACCCACTTGCAACTGAAGACCAGAATCTAAAACTTTATATAATCTAACTCCCAAATGTGCTCAATTAGCCCAAAATATGACATATTTGCGTATATTGGGTTGTTGTCTTTAGAGCTAGTTACATGCATCACATGAGCAATAAGAGTGACACTACTATTTTGCATTGTGCTTTGACTATCTTGCTCTTTAATATAGAAGGTGTATCCATTAATAACATAGCCAGCATAAGAAGCTACTTGCATGCTCGGGCCTCTAGCCAACCATCTCACTTTTTCAGAAACAAAATCAGGATTCATGTTGAACATATCACAAATATGCTCTTTCAGCTAATGTGCAAATTGCTTATTATATTCTTTTACATACCAAGTTTCACCTCTATTGGGATTATCCTTCTTAAGCTCAGCTGAGTGCTTGTCTATAAATTCTTGAACCTCTTCTAAGTTGTGCAACACATAAAGATGTGCTTGATCCCACTATAAATTTGAGACAGTAACTATATTCTTTCCTATTATCCCTTCCCTACCTTCCCTTCCCATATGCCGAGACACTAGTAGCCCAACATAATTGACATTTTTTAAATACTCAGTACAAAATTCAACCGCTTCTTCACTGATATACCGTTCAACAATGCAACCCTCAGGTCAACTACGGTTTTTGACATATCCTTTTAATATCTTCATATCACGCTGCACAAGATACATCCATCTTAAATAAGCCAAGCCACACATTTGTACCTCCTTTACTAAGTGAATGGTTCAGTGAACCATTATGTCAAAGAAAGCAGGTGGGAAATACATCTCCAGCTCACACAATATTTTTACAATTTGGCTTTATAACTTCGGCAATTTGTTGGGATCAATAACTTTACTGCAAATGGATTTAAAGAAGAAACATAATTTTATGATTGTGTCTCATACCTTATTAGGTAGAATAGAATGTATTGCCACCGAAATAAAATTTTCCATCAAAACATGACAGTCATGAGATTTTAAACCCTTCAACTTTAGGTCTTTCATTGACACAAGGTTTTTAATGTTTGATGAGTAACCCTCTAGAACTTTAATTGCAGCAAGAAATTCACAAAAAGAAATTTTTTCTTTTCTACACAATGTGTGAGCTGCTAGACGAAGAAAGGTGCGACTCCCTTTCTCCTCTGGTGCTAAGTCTTCCCTTATCCCCATAGAAAGCATGTCTAACCTTGCATTGATGCTATCTTTGGTCTTTTCAAGAGTATGGAGTAATGTACCAACAACACTATCACAAACATTTTTTTTTATGTGCATCACATCAAGAAAATGCCTAACATACAAGACCTTCTAATACGATAACTTGAAAAAAATAGACTTTTTCTTCCACCCACTTGTCCCAAGGTTCTTTAAAAAAGGTTTCCCAAATTTGATATACAAATCCTTAACCTTTTCAAACAATTGGTCACCAGTCAACATTAAAGGCGGGCCACATTCTTCTGAATTCCCATTAAAATATTTCTTCAATTGTCAATAATTATGACTTGGATGCAAACACCTGTAATGCCTCATATAAGCATTCTTCATACCATCCTCCAACCTAATTGAATCTATGTTTTTTTCACAAATAGGGCATCCAAGTTTTCCTTTTATACTGTACCTCGATAAATTATTGTATGCTAGAAAGTCATTTATAGTACCAAATAACAAGGCTCTCAAATTAAATTTTTCTTCGCTATACCTATCATACACCTCAACCCTTATCTCCCACAATAACTTAAAGTCTTCAAATAGAGGAGCTAAATACACGTCTATGTCATTTTCGAGTTGTTTTGGCCCTGAAATTAACATGGATAGCATCATGTATTTGCGTTTCATGCATAACCATGGACGCAAATTGTAAATTATCAAAATCACTGGCCAAGTGCTATGGGTACTACTTTGGAGCCCATGCGGATTCATTCCATCTGTACATAATGCAAGGCGTAAGTTCCTTGATTCTTGTCCAAATTCAAGGTACTCATGATCAATCCTTCCCCATTGGGGAGAGTCAGCAGGATGCTGCAGTTTCCCATCTTTAATCCTCTCATCTGCATACCAGGTTAAATTTTTTGCATCTTCTTTGCTACTATACAATCGTCTAAATCTAGGCACAATAGGAAAATACCACAATGCCTTCTCCGAACTTTTTCCATTATCTTTGAAGCATGATGCTTTACATTTTGGACACTTTGTTACTGATTCATATTCATTTCTAAATAATATGCAATCATTTGGGCAAGCATGAATTTTCTCATAACTTATGCCAATAGCACGTAACTTTTGTTTTTCTTGATACGTGTTAATAGGAAGCTCATTCACTTTAGGTAGCATCACTTTAAGAAGTGCAAGCAATTCACTAAAGCTCTTATCACTCCAACCGCTACTCGCTTTCAAGTTGTACAAACTTAACACCCCTAACAATAATGTGAACTCGGTACAACTACTATACAAAGGCTTTTCCGCATTACTTTTTAATCTCTCAAGCATTTCAGGACAATCCTTCAATTCCTCTTCAATTACCTTGGCCATCTCTTTAAGATGGTCTTCCTCATCAACCTCATATGTACTTGTATCAAAATCATGTGACAAGTAGCTCTTACTATAACCCCAACTCGCATCTCTTGTCTCTCCATATTTGTGCCAACACTTATAACTTTGATCAATTCCATAACATATTAAATGATTTTCTAATTTAGATGCACAAACCCGCTTCATCAGACAACATTTTACACAAGGGCACACTATACTAGTATGATCGTTTGTGTGCTCAAGTGTAAACTTAATAAACTCTTTCACCCCATTCAAGTATTCCTTCATTAATCGACTGGAAGACATCTATTCTTTGTCCATCTTCCAGATCTAGAAAGAATCATTTTGAGGAAAAGTGTGATTAGTGACTCATTGATATTAGGTCTTCATTAATCAAATAATGAATCATGAGTCACATGCTTTCACACATAATTCCTCAATAAACTTTATTGACTACAAGTACTAAAACTAATTTGAAGAACTTAGTTTTAGTAAAAATTTCACTATCTATTAATAAGTAATAAAACTTCATAGCTTATAAT